CCGATCTCCCCAAAACCCCAAAACCCCAAAACCCCAAAACCCCGCATGTACTATATAAGAGCAGATATAGAGAATTAGCAAAAGCAATTGCATAAATAGATAATTTAGGAATATAAAATATATTAAGTGAAACATAGATAGTTATTAAATTTAATTGAAGTAATATTTTGATTCAAATAAGTCAATTGTCTCAAAGTTTTCTAGCTTGATACTTAAGATTCACCCATCCAATTATGAAAAATGCTATGGCAAAATATAGTATATTTCTCTAGCAATTCTAATCCCCTAATTTAAATCCAAACATATTTAGTAGGAACATGCCGTAATCTTCTTGTTAGGAGACTATTCTTCTGAAATAACCTTCCACTGCATATCTGATTGGAGATAGTGAAGATATCAACTTTACAATAGGTGTCTTAGAACCTAAATTTACAAATTTACCTGCTCCTAGAGAAGATATCATAACCACTGCCATTGCTGATGTGGTAGCTGTATTATCATTGTCAAAAATTGTTCCCCACATGAATCCGAAATTTGAGCCTGCTAAGCCTAACAGCATGGAATTTTTGACGAAATTATAATAATTCTCCCAAGTTTAATCTTATGTTCCAATACATAGGAATATCCCCAATGATTGTATTAGGGGATAGAAAATGATGAATACAGTAGACGCAAACCAAGTTATTATATAGAATGCACTTGTAGAATAAAATCCCGCCAGTTTTTCTTTTCTAAACAGTGGATTTCTTGAAGGGATTTGAATGACTTAAGACATTGTGCAAATTGCAAATACATCATTTCCAAGGTAAAAAGACAATCCCAACCATTCTTAGAAATTCTTCCTTAACTCATACACATCCTTTTCTGTATCAATCTATCCTACGTTGAAGTAGATGCTACCTACTAGTCCTATCATGAATATGGAAATTCCAAATATAGCAAATATTGCTAGTGGGATTTTCAAGAAGCCTTCAAAATACCTTATTAGCAAAGTCCTACATTGCTTGTAAAATGAACTAGCTCTTTCAACCTCAATACCACTTACTAAAGGTAAATTCTATTTCTCTGTTGTCTTTACTATTTTCCTTATTTTTCTTTCAGATTATATTTTTAATGCATCAATTGTTAATTTGTCGCTAATTAATTTCGGGTCATGAGCCATTTTAATAAGATAGTCAGCAGGGTTTGTATATTTCTTAATTTTTAATCCAAAATTTTTCATGAAGTATCCTGGAATTTGGTTAGTTGGCCCATTATAAATTGTATGACCTTCACTTAAACAAATAGTTCTATCAAACAGCTAAAACAACTGAGATGATGGTTGATGAATGGAACAAATCACAGTGGCCCCTCTAAGTTTTGCCTCTCTTTTTAATAATTTAATAATCCTCATAGCATTTTCAGAATCTAAACCACTTGTTGGCTCATCTAGCAATAAAATCTTTGGATTTGTCATAAGTTCCATGCCTATTGAAGTCCTTTTTCTTTCTCCTCCCGATATCTTAGGTAGAAATATTCCTCCTACCATTTGATTTTAGCATTCCTAAAGACCTAGCCTATGTATCATTATATCAACTCTATCTTCAATTTCTGAGTCAGATAGAGAAGTTCTAAATCTTGCTCCATATTTAAAAGTCTATCTTGGCGTGTTTGACTCAAACAGTACATCATCTTGTTCTATAAAACTGCCATATTTCATGAAAGTAGAGTGTTAAAGTTCAACATTGTTAAGCTTCACTGATCCTTCAATCAAATATTGAGTGTGATATTGTGTGTAGCGTTTCGATAGCAAACTAAGAAGTGAGGATTTACCACTCCCACTTGGACCTATGATTGCTGTTAGCTCTCCTGACCTTGCAATTCCAAAATTACTATTCAGAATCTACTTTCTTTTATTAGAATTCTCATCCCTCGTTTCAGAAAATCCTAGCAAAGCTGAATCTATTCCTCTACTAGGTTGTACATACAAATTTAGATCCCTCCATACTAACTATATTTCTTTGTCGAATTCTGCATCTTTGATTTGCTTAATTTAATTCAGTCTTGATTTGTTTAAGTCACTTTGGTCACCTTCGCTTGACTTGGTAGATGAAGATCTGTCCTCTTTGAACGAGTTAGGTGTTTCACTTTTCACTTGTTTATTTTACTTTGCTTTCATATAACTAATAATTATTTGATTAATAACACAACAATGATATCCCTTTTTACTGATTATATTATTAACAATTTAAACCTGCTTTTATAAAATTGACCATCCTGGGGTTTTGGGGTTTTGGGGTTTTGGGG